GAAAAAACCCCAATATTCCCCATTCTCCTAATGCTGCTAATTATCAAAGGCAAACTCAGTGCCCACTGCTAATCCATATCCCTTCTTCCTGTCTTCCCTGACAACTAAATCCTAATTTTATTTAAGGCAACAACATGCCCAACTGAAAAAAGTAACATCTCCTCCTGGAGATAGCAGAAGCCATGTGACTACATTCTAACCAATGAGATACAGGCAGCTGTCTCAGCCCATGAGGTAAGGTATATTGCTTGTTCATAATTCTTCCAGCCAGGCCTCATGGCACACGCCTGTATTCCCAGCATGTGGGCAGCTGAGGCAGGAGAACAGCTTCAACTATGGTGAGTTCAAGCCCAGCTTGAAATACATAGTGAGACCCTGTATCAAAAGAAAAACAAAAAATAAACAAACATACAGACAAAACATAATAATCAGACTTTTACAATGGACTTCCCTTCAGGGGCTCAACAGCAAATGTGAGCAGCCAAAACAAAGAATTAGCAAACTAAGCTCAAAGAAAAGACATGAAGTTATAGAATTTAAGAACTAGGGGTAGGGCTGGCCAAATAGCTCAGTGGATTAAAGCTCCTGCAAGCAGGTGCAGAGACTGGGGTTCCATCCCGGGCCTGCCACGCCAGCCCCGCCCCTGGGGCACACTGGGATGGCAACTGAGCCTGGGCATGGTGGCGTGCGCCTATAATCCCCAGCTCTTGGGAGACTGTAAACAGGCGGATCACTACGAGTCCGATCTAGTAATGAGACCCTGAACACCCTGTAGACTCTCCCCTAAAATACAGAGAAAAAAAAAAAAAAAAGAACCAGGAAAAAAGAAAATTGAACAGAGCCTGAGATCTTATAGGGCACCATCAATATGAGGCCAATACATAAGTTACAAGAGTGCCAGAGACAGACTCTTGGAAGAAATCATAACTGAAAAGTCCCAAAATTTGAGGAAACACATGAATCTACAAAGCCAAGGATCTCAACAAACATCAAAGATGAACTCGAGGAGACTCACACCAAGACATTCTATATAATCAAGATGAACACCACACCAGCTCTGTAAGAAGTGCCCACAGGCCAGTCATGGTTGCACACAACTGTAACCCCAGCTGAGAGGCAGAAGCGAGAAAGGATTGCAAGTTCAAGGCCATCTTGGGCAACTTAGTAAGATCCTATCTCAAAATAAAATTTCATAAAGGGCTGGCAATGTAGCTTAGTGGTAGAGGGGTCAAGGATTGCATGTGCAAGCTCTGAGCTTAATTTCCAGGACAAAGAGACAGAGACACACCTACAGACTCACTCACTCACTCACTCACTCTGACCCATGGGAGTCCGGTAGGTTCACATGAAAAATTGCTATACAGGAACTCAAAGCTGTACAAAGCTCTTCAGTGAGGGTGAATACTGTACCTGAGCAAATATAAAAGCCACAGTAATTTTAGTTTGTAGCTCCACTTCTTATTTTCTATAGGATTTAAAAGGCAAATTCATAATAAGCAATTATAAACCTATGTTAATGAGTATACAGTACAGTATACCAAGTTGTAACCTATAACATCAATAACATAAGGTTAGGGTGGACCAATGAAAGGTGAGTTTTGTATGCAGGTAAGTCAAGCTGGCAGCAATTCAGAACAGCCAGTTGTAGCTGCTGGAACTCTAAGGTGTGACACGCTATTCCCACAGTACCTGCAACAGAAATATCTGAAGAACAAACAGAAAAAGAAAGGAGAAGGGAATCAAAACATGTCACTACAAAAGATCAACTAAATATGAAGGTTCTTATCTCCCAGTTCACAATTTAGCCTGGAAATAGCTCTGGTCTGCCCCATTGGGTGGTGGTCACAAGCTTTATTCCTCTGGTGTCAGGATTTTGGGTGAGGAACTTTGCTCCTGGCAGTCTATATTCTTCTTTGTTTTAAGGGATGCTGCATTAAGGAGAAACCTCCATGTGAGCACCCTTCCCTTTGGGCTTACGCTGTCTGTATTCAGGCTTCCGCCTCTTCATTTCCCTCTCTTCAATCATCGAAAACAATTCTAACATAAAGAATGAACGTCTGGTTAAAATAAAAAAAATAGAGCTAGAATAATGAAGACCAAAAAACAGAGACACACACAAAAATCTTTAAGACACACACACAAAGAACCAAATGCCAAATGTAAGCCCTTTCCCATCAGCAATTAGTTGAAATGTAAATGAATTAAACTTACAAATAAAAAGATACAAATGGGTAAAAAGGAGTTTAAAAAATACAATCCAGCTCTATCCTATGAGACTCACTCTAGGTCCAAAGACACACAGAGATAGAAATTGAAAGGCTGGAAAAAAGAGATTCCAAGCAAACAGTAACCAAAGGCACAGCAGTGATCATGCTGGTATCAGATGAAACAGACGGAGGACATTTTATAGCGCCAAGAGTCAGTTCACCAGGAAAATACAATTAGAAGCTTACACGTATCAAACAGTACAGCTTCCAAATGTAGGAAGCAGGGCCGGTGAGATAGCTCAGCAGACTAAAGCATCTGCCTAGGCAAGCACAGGGACCTCAGTTCTGTCCAGGCACCACATGCCACACCAGCCCTGCTCCCAGGGCGGGCTGAGCCAGCTAGAGGCCGGGCGTGGTGGCGCACACCTGTAATCTCAGCTCTAGAGAGGCTGAAAGCAGAAGCATCACACAAGTCCGCGCTGCACGGTGAGACCCTGTAACAACCAAAAACATTAAAAAATAATATATGAAGCAAAGACACAACAGGAGAAACAGCTCTAAACAGTGAGATTTTAATATCCTGTTTTCAACAATGGAGAAGAAAACCACACAGAAGATACTACAGGGCACACCACTGGACCTGACCACTATTATAAAACACAGTATTCAGCAACTGAACGCTTCTCAGGGCACACTCAACTTTCTCAGAATAGACCACATGTTAAGCCATAAAACAAATCTTAATAATTTTTTTGTTTTTGTTTTTACAAATCTTAATAATTTAAAAAGACTAGTTGGGCATGATAAGACATGTCTGTAAGCCCAGCACTTGGGAGACTGAGGCAGGAGGACTGCTATGAGTTTGAGGACAGCCTTGTCTAACAAGTTTTGTCTGTCATTTCAAAATGAACCCCTCAAAAAAAAGTTTAAAAAGACTGAAATCACTCGAAGCATCTGTTGCAATCACAGTGGAGGGGCTGGGAATGTAGCCTAGTGGCACAATGCCCGCCTGTTAAGTGCGAGGTTGTGAGTTTGATTCCTGATACTTCCTGATACCAAAGAGAAAAAAGAAAAAACCCTTCAATCACAATGGAATGAAACTAGAAATCAACACACGGAAATCTTGAAAAGTCACAAATTTATGGAAACTGAACAACACATTCTTAACCAATCTATCAAAGAAAAACATCAATCCTCTGGGGCTGACCATTGCCCCGTAGGGTGGGGAATATGTGCAGCCAGCGCTGCTACAATTTGCCTCCAGGAAATCCTTCATAAGCCAAACTGGTTTTAAAACTGTTTGTGAGACAGGATCTTGCTATGTCACAGACTGGCCTTGATCGGACAAGCATCCTCCAACCTCAGCCTCAGGAGGGCAGGGATCACACACCGCACTTCAACCCTTTCAACTGCCAGCTAAGTCTCTGTTCCATCCATCCACCCTCCACTTCTCCATCACCCTAATGACACCCCTCCCCAAACACATTTTCATGGGCTGCCTACAAAATAAAATCTAAATGTGGCTTTTGCATGCAAGGCCCTTTGGTCCATGAACTGCACTCTCAGGCTATGACTCCCTAAACTTCACACTCTGTTTTATTTTTATTTAGAGACAAAGTCTGTTTCCCAGGCTGAGAGCAAAGCCCTGTGTGATCCTTCTACACTACCCGCTCACAGGTGCATGACCACGGCTAGCTTATGCTCCTTAATAACCTGAGTTGAAGAGGCTGTGCTGTCATTCTCTTGGTTTGCATGGTCTCACCTCCACCCTGCAAAGCAAAGCTGGCCGGCTCTTTCCCAGCCAAGACCCACCCAACCATCACCTCTTACCCGCAGCTGTGTGTCACCACCTTTCAAGTTCTCGTCCCAGCACTTAGCACGCTGCAATTTCTAGCTTTGTCCATCTGCCCTACCAACTCTTCCACATGTCTATACCAAATATCAGAGACATTGCCTAGACCACAGTCCCTACTCAAGGTTTTTTAATTCAATGCACTGCCTTGACAAATACTTGTGTTTGTTATTTACCTAATTTACATGTCATCTGTATAGGCTTAGAAACCATGGAACAGGACTATGGAGATAGCTTAGCGGCATAAGCCTGACTGGCAAGCACAAGATCCTGGGTTTGATCCCGGTACCAAAAGAAAAAAAGAAAGAAAAAGAAACTAAAGAACAAACTGAAATTTTCCAGCTCTGATGTTTCAAAAGTTGTAGATTCGACCTTGGGAAACCTCTCAATCCAAAGATACTGTGGGATATGTATTTTCTGTTAATAGAATTATGTAACTAAGGCAAGCACTTAGGCAGGGAGGCTCTCAAATCTGTCTTTAGTCTCCTAAGAATTTCATCATCCGCCTTTTATCCCAGCACTCCAGGAAGCTGAGGCAGGAAGACTGGAATACCAGCCCAGCCTAGGAAACCTAGCTATTGTTCAAGACTCTGGTTCAAAAAGTTTAAAAGGGTTATAGTAATAGCTCAGTGCAAAGCCCTGGGTTCAATCCCAGTATCCAATTAAAAAAATAAAAAGCAAGCACCAGGACTCCACCCTAGAGACTCAGAGGGTTCAGAGTAGGACTCAGATAACTAATCTCTAATCTTCAACAAATTCCTGGAGTAACCATGCCAAGGCAGACAAAGTACAGCACGAGTTAGAAAAGTGAACTGAACGTAGGAGGACGCTTCTTTCTCCTGCAACAGCGCCCGTATTCCCCAGCATCCCGCCCAGAGCCCTTGGGGGCGCAGAGGGGGGCCCAGACGCCCTTGGACAGGCTTCGTCCCGCAGCTGCCCACCTGGTACACGGCGGAGCCCGCGTCCTGCCGGGAGCCCAGCGAGGCCACTGCGTCCCCGTGGTAGGAGTGCGGCCGGGAGGCTGCGGCGCGGGCACAAGGCCGCAGGGCTGTCCTCAGGGCGGCCCACATCGCGGCGCAGGGTACCCACGGTGCCGAGGGAAGCCGGCCCACGCCTGCTGGGAGCCGGACTTTTTCCGAATCCGGGCCGCAACTCAGCTCTGGCTCTAGCAGCACTTGCTTGGGCCTCCAGCTTCTCGCGTTTGTCTCTCACGTGGCGCACACGCTACCTCTCATTGGCCAGAGCCGAGTGCCACGCCTCCAAGCGCAACCAATAACAGACAGAGACGCAGCCCGGCGATGGCCAGTCGCATCGCGAGCCCGGGAGAGCTGGAGCGGAGCGGAGCTGTCAGCTTTGGCTCAGAGTAGAGAACCTCCCACATCTCTCATCTGGGCCGCTCGGATCGCGGTGGGCACCGTGTTGACAGCTCCGGTGAATCTCTTCGATCATGGATGTGAAGACTGCAGGACAAGCCTCTCTACCCCTGTCCTAGGGATCTTACACTTCTGATTATTTTCGCGATGTGATAGGTCATAGACATCAGCGCCATGATTGTTTTTAAATTTTTGTACTGGTGGATTGAAGCCAGGGTTCTTGCACCGAGATACATCCACAGCCTGTTTTTTTATTTTGAGACAGGGTCTTGCTAAGTCGCTGTTGCCCAGGTTGGGTTAAAACTTGTGATCTTCCTGCCTCAGCCTCCCAGTGCTAAAATTATAGACATATGCCACACCTGACTTGGAATTGTGATTTTTTTTAAAGAACCCTAAACATACAAAAATATAGAAACCAGGTATAGTGGCACATGCCTGTAAATAAACTCAGCACCCAGGGGGCTGAGGCAGAAGGACGGCCCTGAGTTTGAGGCCAGCCTGGACTACATAGTGAATTCAAGACCAGCACCAGGGGTCCGGGGAGATTGCTCAGTGGAATAAGCGCTTCCCTAGCAAGCGCAGAGGGCCTGAGTTCAATCCCCGGTTCCGCAAAAAATATAGTTAATAATTCAAGGCCAGCACAAAACACACAGCGAAGCCCTGTCTCAAAAAGGAAAGAAGGAGGGAGGGAGGGAGGGGGGAAGCTATTTAAAATGGCTGGAACTTGCTTAGGTAAAGAGTAAAGAGTGAGGAACCTAAGACGGATGGTCAGGGCAGCAACTACTGAAAATAAACGTAGTTCCAGACTTCAAAGTTTTTTTGCTTTGTTTCGGAACTGGGGAATGAACTCAGGCCCATGCACTTGCCAGGCAACCGCTTATTCTACTGAGCCATCTCCCCGGCTCACTTCAAGGTTCTTATACACAGAATATAAAATAAAATAAAAATGAACTCGGGCAGAGCGCTGGAGTGCACAACGACAGTAAAGAAACCGAAGGCGCCTGGAAAGGAGGCCGGTGGGCGGGGCGCCTGGTGGGCGGGGCGCCTGGTGGGGCGCCTGGTGGGCGGGGCGCCTGGTGGGGCGCCTGGTGGGCGGGGCGCCTGGTGGGCGGGGCGCCTGGTGGGCGGGGCGCCTGGTGGGCGGGGCGCCTGGTGGGCGGGGCGTCTGGTGGGCGGGGCCTGAAGCGCTGCGGGGGCCGGGAGGTGGAGAAGGGCCGCTGCAGCCGGAGCGCGCGTCTCCGCGCCGGGCCGCTGCCCCCGCGGCTGAGCCACGGGAGCTTCTTGGTGAACTCAGACTCGCCTTTCAAAGCTGGACTCAGGGCTCTCCTCTCCGACCCCGCTATTACTCCTTTCCTCCCTGTGCAGACCTCTCCCGAGTAGCTCAGGTCACAGTGTTGCTCTGGTTGGTGTAGCTCACCCTGAGCCCACTGGGTGAGTTTATTGCCATGCACTGGACATCAGCGGGGCTTCACATCCAAAAAACAGCTGAAGCCCTGAACAGTTTCCCAATTCACATACATTTTCTGGAAGATTGGGAGTGGAAAAGAACTAAGGCAGTGTTTTACTTCATGAGTTTTGGAGTTCTTTTTCTGAGACAGGGTCTCCCTATGTATGCAGTCCAGACTGGCCTTGAACTCACATTGTAGCCTAGGCTGGCCTCAACCTTGCAGCAATCCTCCTGTCTCAGCTTCCCACGAGCTGGGATGCGTGTCCCACCACATCTGGCTCTCTAGCATACTTTCAATATTTTCTAGCAGTCTGCCTCCCTTCCACCCAGGCTACAAGCCTATTGATTGCCCCCCCCCCAGGGTGGGGCTTCCATCTATAGTAAATCCATTCAGCCAGAACTAGGCTAAACCAACTAGGGGACTAATCCAGGTATCACACACCCTAGATCCAGCCATCCCCAGAAAGCCTTACCTATTCCCACATGAGGCACTGGGGGGCCATCTAGATACAGGCCATAATAATGGTGCTGGACACTAAATGGCTTACCTAGGGGACTGCCCCTCACAATCCAGACATCAAGTGATCTGCCGAACCATGAAACAGGATGTGCCCTACAGAACTTCAGTGTGCATCAGAAGCAGTGGGTAGGAAACTAGGCTTGAACTGGAAGATAAATTAGCCAAAACTCAAAGACACTGGTGTGGGCAAAGGCTTTCTGAAAAGAACCCCAAGTGCACAAGACGCAACATTTAAAAAAAAAAAATCAAGTGATAACTGTGTCAAATTAAATGCTTCTGCAGGCTGGCGAGATAGTTCCACAAAATAAGTGCCTGCTTAGGCAAGCACAGGAACAAGGGTTTGAACCCCAACACCACATGCCACATCAGCCCCACCCCCGGGCACACTGAGCTGGTACCTAGTGCAGGAGTAGTGCACACCTGTAATCCCAGCACTGGGGAGGCTCAAAACAGAAAGATCACTATGAGTCTGAGCTGCATAGTGAGACCCTGTATCAAATATGTAAAAATTAAAAATAAAAAGCTCGGATTAAGCGCCTGCCATCAGGTGCAAGGGCCAGGAGTTCGATCCTGTGCCAGGCCCACTCCCGGGGCACCCTGAGATGGCAATTGAGACTGGGCATGGTGGTGAGTGCCTGTAATCCCAGCTCTTGGGAGGCTATAAACAGGCGAATTACTAGAGTCTGATCTAGTAGTGAAACCCTGAACATCCTGTAGACCCTTCCCTGAAATACAAAAACAAACAAAAAAGAATCATAAATGATGGTGAGGCCAAGGGACAAACAGAACACTTATCCATTATTAGTGGAAATACAAACTTGTACTACCACTATGAAAACCAATATAGAGATGCCTTAAAAATTAAAAACAGAAACTTCACTCAACCCAGCTTATTCCCTTCTGAGTATCTTTCCAAGAATTAAAGACATCATAGTACAGTGACGTATGCACACCCGTTTATAGCAGCACAATTCATAATAGCTAAATCTTGAAAGCAGCCTGCATGTCCATCAAAAGATGAATGGATAAAGAAAATGTGAAATATACATACAACAGGCTGGAGAGTTTAAAAAAAAAAACAACAATTTTTACCTATAAAAATCTATTATTGGGGCTGGAGAGATGGCTCAGTGGTCTAAGGCACCTACTTAGAACAAGCTTAGCAAAGCACCTGGTTCAATCCCCCAGCACCACATGCCAGACAGCCCTGCCCCCTGGTGGGCTGAGCTGGCCACACACCACTCACTCTCTCTCTCTCTCTCTCTCTCTCTCTCTCTCTCTCTCTCTAATAAATAAAAATTAAAAAAAAATCTATTATTGGGCACAAGGCCACAAGGCTGTCCTTAGAGCTGGGGAGATAGCTCAGTGGTCTAAGCTCAAGGACTCGAGTTCCATCCCTAGTACTGCATGTTGTGTTGGGCCCTGAGCTGAGCCAGCCACTGAAACTAGGCACAGTGGCACACACCTATAATCCCAACCCCGGGGTGGATGAGACAGGAGGATCACTATGAGTCCCAGCTGCATAGTAAACCCTGTACCAAATAAATAGTCAAATGAACGATCTAACAGAAAATGTTTAATCTATTATTTAAGTGGTTATTAAAAAAAAAAAAAAGCAAGCAACTCTGACATGCAATTTTCTTCAGTTATCTTCTATGATAAGTCCTTGAAAAATACCATTCACAACCTTCATACATTTTCAAAATGCATAAACTTTGTTGTACCTCAAACAGCCTGGGGATGGACCCTCAGACGCTGTCACTGCCCTGAGGACATGGCTGTCAGTGACCACTCGCCTTGCTGCTTCAAAGACTGCACAGAAAAGCAGCAACTCTTCACATGCCCCAGAAGTGAGGAGAAATTTATTTTTACAAGATCAAGGAAAAAAAAAAAAGGGGGGGGGGTCGGGGAGATGGCTCAGTGGAATAAGCGCTTCCCTGGCAAGCGCAAGGGCCTGAGTTCAATCCCCAGGTGGGGGGGTGGGTGGAATCCTTTATAACAAACACAGAAGAATAAACATCAGTTCTGGTTACATGGAAAGAAGAAAGTAGAGACCATAACTGAAAACTGTAACTAGTTTTGGCTAGCTGATTGAAAAAATGTTTGGGGAAAAAAAAAGAACACAACAGAAATGGTATAAAATAATTTTATTTACATAATTTATATCTATAGAACATAACTGCTTTCTTTAAAACAAGAAAACTTACATATGACAGATATTGCTTTTTTGTCAAAGACTTCTTTATGCAAGATAGTATATACATGGTCGCTTGTATTTAACATGATAGTAAACAGTGGACATTACTATTTTCATCTGTGCCTCGTTTACCAACAATTAGGCTTTTAAGCCATCATGTGGGTCACTTATTAAAAATGTAAGCATTCAGGAGGAAAAAAATAAGCACTTTTTATCACCTCTCTTTTAAGATTTACAAATTCTGTAACATCTGTACATCAATCAGACTTTTTTTTCTTTTTTTTGGCAGAACTGGAGGTTGAACTCAGGCCCTTGCGCTTACCAAGGGAGCGCTTATTCTCCTGAGCCACCTCCCCAGCCCCATCAATCAGACTTAATACAGATATTTCCACCTTGTAAGATAAGTGTACTAAGCAAGTTTCTGCTTTTCCAAGATTAAACGGTATAAGAGTAGGACAATTTGTTGACTGACATGATTCTTTATACAATGAATGTCCCTGCATCCATTACAGAGTAAGAAATTGTATCTTTCATAAAACTGGTTTAACATCTGGGAGACAGATATTAACAATGTTAAAAAATAAATATTATACAGGGATAAAGAGTTTAGTCATGGCCATCTAACACCCACACTAACAGAATGAGACTTAAAAATTTACAAAAACAGGATATGAAAATCACAATGGGATTTATTCCATGATTTTTGATATATTAATCACATGAAATAAATAAATAAATGCATAATTATAGAGAATTTCCACTCAGATTTGTAAACCTCCCTTTACAACACAATGGTAAAGTGAAACTGGAAATTTCACTGTAAGGCAACAAGAAATGCTCTAAGAAGCCCGGTGTGGAGATGCACACCTGTAACCCCAGCATTCAGGAGGCTGAGGCAGGAGGATCACAATTTGTTCGAGGCCGACCTGGGTTATATAGTGAGTTCAAACCAGGATAAAGTACACAAAGAGACCCTGTCTCAGAAAGGGATGGGGGAAGGGAGAGGAGAAGGAAGGAAGGAAGGAAGGAAGGAAGGAAGGAAGGAAGGAAGGAAGGAAAAAATGATGTAAGAGCAAGTTTCCATCCCTGTTGGCAGTCAGCATCACTGCTAAGCTTTCTGGGTTACTGTCCACTTTTCTAAGGAGCCTGAAAACTGGCCACCATCCTATCCACATACAAACACTAAGATCATCTAGACTTTAAAATAGTTTTCCGACTGAAATACCAATACTTTCATAAAGCAGTCAGCATAGCTGTGGGCCTAACTCAGAACTCCAGTGACAAGCCACTCATATCTAGCCCTTAGCACCATAAAGAAAACGGCAAAGGCCAAGCTCAACAGCAGCCCGGCACAGCCCTTCATGTATGGGCCAGCTGCGGCTGTCTCTGCATGAAATGCAGGAGTGAAGTGCTGCCAGGGACCATGTAGCGTGGGACCCAAAATTATCTTGCAGAAAGTTTTCAATTCCTGAGCTAAAGTACTAGCGATGTTGGAGGCTTTCCAAATAGAATCAAAAGGACTGGAGAGATAGCTCAGTGGCATAAGCACCTGCCTGGCAAGTGAAAGATCCTGGGTTCAATCCCCAGTACCAAAAAAACCATCAGAATAAATCTGCTCGTCAGAGAAATTTGTTTCAGGAAAAAACTGCTCGGATAGATATATTACACATACATCATATATATACATATTACATATATATCATGTATCTGCTGAGCATACACATATACATAAAGCATCAAATTTCAAAATTAAAATCATTTAAATTAATACTGCTAATTGCTGACTTCATAAAGGCTTATCTCCCAGCACTCAGAAGGCTGAGGCAGGAGGATCTCCGTGGAGTTCAAGGCCTGCTTGGCCTACATAAGTGAGCACAAGGAAGCCTGCACTACATAGCAAGACCATGTCCCAAAAAAAGAAAAAGAAAAATCCTATTGTCTTACTTTCTACTTATATCTTGTGCTTAATGGTCTAAGTGTTCCTTGGCCATATTTAATGGGGTAAAAATGATCAAGACATTGTAATTCAAAAAAGGACAGAGAGAGTGTATAAAGGAGATCTGCCTTACAGACAAAGTTGAGATTTTCTTTTCCTGAAAATCCTGAGATTATCTAAAACAGAAGAAAAGCAAAAAAACATTCACAGTTCGAAATCAACATACTAAACAATGGCGGGGGTGGGGGGAGTACTCAAGCATACATACAGCTGGGAGCGGCAGTGCACACCTACAGTCCCAGCACTCAGGAGGCAGAAGCAGGAAGAGCACTATGAGTGGGAGGCCAGCCTGGGTGACATGGTGAAGTCAAGGTCAGTCTGAACTACACAGCAAGACCCTATCTCAAAAAATAAAACCAAACAAACAACAATATATCCCCACAATTTCTGTTTGTGTCATTTTAAGTATCTTTAAAGAGGAAATAGAGATAAACCTGTTCATGTCTCCTTTACACAAGGGGTAAAAATAATTAAAACTGAATATCCTTTTAAATAAAAATTTTAAAAATAAATAAACTCTTTGATTTGTCATCTTTATAAATATTAAGTTTAAATACTAGTTTTCAGTTAGGACTAATGTTACATCACCATGAAATAGAAAAATACGTTTTTCAGACAAATAGCTGATAACAGAAATTTTTTAAAGGTCACACACTAAAGTGGAGATTCACAATTTTGTATACTTAGAGGCAACTGAAAAGGCCTTCATCATCCCCCCAAGAAGCAAAGAAAACAAAACAGAACAAAACTTTACAGAAGTGTGCTAAATGATAAGTACAATCAACTCCCAATAAGACAGCACTGTGATCCCCGACCTCTATCCCCAGCAGTCTCAACATCCACGTGTGCTCAGTGCAGGCAGCGTGGGAAGGTGAACCAGCCGCCGCTTCTCTCTCACAGCGCTGCCTGGTGCTGCCAAGACACCCCATCAGCCAGAATGAGGAACTCAGCAATGTTTTCCACTGATTTTCAACATTTCAAATCAAGTTCATTAAATAATCAAAACTGACCTAAAGAAAAATAGACAGTGATGCTGCTTTTTATAAATACTGCTTTGTTGCTGCAACTGATTCTAGAAATTCCAGACTTAAAGGGGAAAATAAGGAAAAACCCCAAAGACTGCTTTATTCTGCTTCATCTACTTCAATAAAGATATCAGCGAAGAAATATTCTGAGACTGTGGTCAGTGCCTCTGTTTCAGGTGCCCGCTGCTGGCCACTTTCACATTCTTCTTTCAGTGACGGCTGATCACAGGTAACCTATAAAAGGTAACAAAAATAAAATGTGACACAACACTCACATATTGCTTCTGAGGGCTGGACATGCAGCTCAGCAGTAAGGCATTCACCTTGCATGTGCAAAGCCCTGGGTTTAAAATTAAAGGAGGAAAATAAATAAATAAATAAATAAATAAAATTAAAGGAGGGAAAAAGACTAAGGTAATTTTTGTTGCATAAGTTACAATAATAAAATTAGCAGCAAGCTAAATCTACACAAGATATAGTTAGTGTTATGGCTTGTATCTAGTTGTCCCCTCAAAGCCTCATGTAGTCAGGAAGCAGACTTCTAGAGTTTGTGGTTAATTCGTGATACTCATGACCCAATGCTGGGATTATGGGTGTGAGTTCTACACCTGGCCTGGGGTGGATAGCCTGAATACAACGTAAGGAAGGGAGAGAGGCTTGTTCTCTGTTGCTGCTGCTGCTCCTCCCTCTTTACTTTTGCTGTTTTGCTGCTCTCTGCTGCCATGAGCTGCTGCCTTCTGCCATGTGCCATTCTACCTTGGGGCCAGCTAAGTATGGACTGAACCCTCCTCAAACTATGAGCTAAATAAATCTTTCCTTCCTTAATTCTGGATATTGGGTATTTTGCCCTAGCAATGAGAGAAAAGTAACTGAGACAGTTAGGTAAATCATAACATATAAACAAGCTATTACCTTAACTCCTGTGAAAAAGTTTTAATATACACAAGCGTAACATTGTTAGCTGAGTATGGCGGCACATACTCGCAATACCAGCATTCTAGAAGGCTGAAGCAGGAGGACCACAAGTTCTAGCCCAGCCTAAGCAATTCTGTGACTCAGCAAGAGCCTGTCTCATAATAAAGAAGGCAGTCAATAACGGTGGTGCACGCCTATAACCCCAACACTGGAAAGGGCTTAGGAAGTAGAAGTGCAGAGAGTCTGAGACCAGCCTGAGCTACATAGTGAGGATTTAAATAAAATTTTTAAAAATGAAATTTATAAATAAAGGGACTGTGGTGCAGATCAGTGATAAGGTCCTCGGTTTAATCCGTAGTACCTCAGGAAAGAAAAAAAAGTAAAATCTATAATTAAAATATATTAATTTCTGACTTAAGCAGAGACCCATAAAACAGACAAGAACACAAAGGAAATACCATAAATGAAAATCAGCATATTGGGCTGGTGAGATGGCTCAGTGGTCTAAAGCACCTACTTAAAACAAGCTTAGCAAAGCACAGGGACCACAGTTCAATTCCCCAGCATCACATTCCAGCCAGCCCCGGCCACTGGTGGACTGAGCTGCCCCACACACACACACACAAATAAATTAATTAATTTTTTAAAAAAAGAAAATCAGCATACTTACAAATCTGTAAAGAAATTTAATTTTTTTTAAAAAAAGAAGAAATTTAAATCTGATGGCGCCAGGGAGATGGCTCAGTGGAATAAGCGCTTCCCTGGCAAGTGTAAGGGTCTGAGTTCATTCCCGGTTCCGCCAAAAAAAGAAAAAAAGAAATTTAAATTTAAGGTATCAGCACAGGAACAGCTATATACTAATAAAAGAAGACTAGAAATAACGCTAACATGTATGAAGATTTAGTATCTGATAAAAGTTAAATTTCGGGCTGGTGAGATGGCTCAGTGGTCTAAAGCACCTACTTAGAACAAGCTTAGGGGGCCTGGCCCTAGCTCAGGCCTTTAAGTGGCTGCTTCCACAAAGCTGTCAG